CAGCCACATGAAAGGGCCTCCACAGGCCGAGGAGGAAGTTCTGTCTAATTCCATCGGTTACTATTACAGACGTCGGCTAAATCGGAGCCTAAAGAACACACAGACTGTTTTCTCACAGCACAGGGAACGGCACGCTAGGATATAGACGCAAAAAAAAAGATTAGTGGGATATCTGTGGGAAACCAGTCTGGAAAAGTCCACTCAGTATAGGAAGTCATGTAGCTGTTAAAGACGCCTGAACATCTGTAGAACAGTATCAATATTTTGCCGTCAACAGTGAAATAAACTATGTCCAGATTTTGTGGTGGAGTTCGACTTACAGTCAAAAATGTGCAGAAATGACGGAGCCTCATTTCAAAGAGATTCGAATTGTTACAGTGCAGCTCCGTCTAATTCGAAACAGCTCGAGATCAGATGGAAAAAGCGTGGCGAGAAAGATGCGGCAACCATATAAAGTAAATTACTAGAGGCCGTTCCATCTCTTTAATGCCTCTGCTATTGTTGGGACCTTTAATGCGATGCTATAAAACAACAGAGGGTGAAAATAGGGAGATGAGTGCAGGGTGCAGGGCGAGACAACCGACAGCTAAACTGAGACGTGGCTCACAAACTGCACAGTGCGTCGTGAGGCGACGCTTCCTTATCCTGACATTTTCTACTGCAGCGCTTCAGCTGCTGAGAACATCTGCTGTGTCATGTTTCTACTACAGGCTTTAAAAAGACGTCACAGCGACAATGCGCACGGTTACATCATTATCTACTTTGATATTAAGCAGTATTAATGTCTTCTCACATCTCTCTAACTCACAGACACCTACACTGTGTTCACTTCCCTTCTTTTCCAGACTCTGTAAAACTGGAAGTGGAGCTCTTTCTTGCATTTTCAGCAGAAAGAGCCGTTTAGGTCGTTGAAAATAGAAACATTCTTCCTGTCGCTGCTTAAAGTGAAGTGGTGAATGCAGAGTGCCGCCTCGGGCCCGTGTGGACGGTGTTAACAAGGAGGGCTGGACAAAGCTAACAGGAATTAATCTGCCTGGCCAGTCAGACTGGATAGATCGCTCGTCCTTTTTACCGTCTAACAAAGAGACGGCCTTAAGAGGATTATTACCAAAGGGTCATCTGTGTCTAAATGCAAAATGCCAAAAGTTTCCGGGCACTTCTCGCACTTGTCCAATGGGATGCACCCCTGATTTGAAGAAGTCTTGAAATGACAGCTTGACTTGAATCTTAATCTGTGGCTCTGCGACACTTCTGCCTGCACAGATTAGGTTGT